TAATCTGTACGAGGAGCCCTTGATGGTGGAAGAGATGTACATTAAGTACAAAGAGAAGATACAGAAGGCGTTTGGTACTCCATATCGTCGTCACCTCCGTCATCGCTTTTATCCGGGAACAGTCGCAAAAAGAACGCCGAGACGAGTGATCGCTCCGAAGCCTTTCACGATATGATCTGAAGATTACGCATAGAGGTTCGCCAGAATTTCAATTTCTGGTTTTTGCTGCTTCTGATTGAAGGTTTTTCATTACACATAAATATATAATGTTCTTTTAGCCCCTTATTCCGAATTGTTTGAAATTTCCCTCTGGCTGTTAAATTTGCTGAACTACAAATATTGGCCGTTTTTTATTTTACGAGTGTTTCTTACTTTTACGTTAAGCTATAATTGCTTTTTATGCATGTTTATTCGCATCCATTGAAGAAGAGATGTAAGAAGCTGAGGTAACCAACCTTTGATGAGTTTGTCATATGGAAAAGGAAGTGTTATAATTCAGTGATTGTAACTACGCGTTTTATTTTATAGCCGCCGTTTTCAGTACTACCACATTGTGAGTGATCAGGACAAACATGAGCAAAATCGTAAAAGTAGCACTTGGATATGAAATAGTCCAGTTTAGAGCAAAAGTTTAAAATAGAAATATCAGAATAATAAAAAGCAAATGACAACATAATCGATCAAAGGCGTAAACGAATGAACGAATGCAGTAGTTATATGCGTTGTTCTGTGGTACTCAAAAACGATCAAATACAGAGTTGAAGTTAATCATCTTTATCATTAAAATTTTCATGAAGTGTATTGTTTTTTAGTGCTTTGCAGTTTGATGCCTCGAAACGTTTGAATTTGAATTATTTTCATTCTTCCAAACTAATCGAGTTCATTTCCCGTATGGGTGTTCAAATATCAGTTTAGTCTTGGCATCCTTAAATGTTCCCCTAAACACTAGAAGCAAAGAGCTGTGCACTGCCCGATTAAATGTTTTTTTTTCAGGATTTATGCGCCAATTTGCATACGACCGTGAACGAACCCATATAATATTCTTGCGAGAGTAATGTGGTATAATAAATGCGGAGCATGTGGTACCATGTGCTAAGAAGGAAATTTACGCATCAATGAATCAAAAATTTGTGTCGTGCTGTTGGATAGATCACATTCCAGAGGAAAGTGAGTCTTTCACTGAACTGTCCTCTAAAATCTAGTTGTTGAATAGCTATAATCTCATCTGTAAAATTCACTTCAGTTATCGTCGTAAAGTATCTTGTCTGTTGATACAAATCTGTCCATTCAAACGGTAGATTCGTTTGGTGTAAAGATACTAATGATCGAATGAATGTCGCGTAATGGCATGAAATTGGCCGTTTCTCAAATGGCCTTCCCCCATGATACCGAAGCTTGTATGTGAAAAATGCTTGCATTTGAATGGCCGTCAGACGCTCCTCGCTGGCTTCGTTCTTCGACAGTTGTAGTTTCGTAGTTTTGCGAATTCAGATTTGATTAACGGCCGCCAGCCAGAGCACGTTAGGCGCCGAAGTTTGAGCCCTTAATCCGAATTACTGCTCTTCTGCGTACGATCATGTGATGTGCAAGTTGGTCTGTCGGCCATTGCAGGACGGCGCCTCGTTATAATGAATGTACGATGGCGCGCCTCTTCCATGTTGAATGACGTCGACAGCGTAGCAATGGCTCGTGCAGAGGTTTTTCTTCGTGTTGTCCGGAAGTGGTAGTTTTTTGAGATTGCAAAAGTAATCCGCGACGGCGTAATAAATTAAGTCAGAATCATTGACAGATCGTGACTGGCGAGTTTTTACTCATACTGGCATGAATGGAA